CCTTGCTCCCACGACTATGCATATAACATAATATAATATAATACAAATATAAATATAAGGAGGTATGCATAATAGGGTATGAGGAAGAAGCCATCTTCGAGAGTCACGTTCCTATTTTAAGTTTCATAATTTTCGATGAAACTTTTTTATCTTAAGCACAAGGGAGTAAGGAAGTTCGGGGGGAACTTTTTTACGGCCTAAGTTCTATGCATCGAATAAAGAAGTTGTACAATAATAGGGAAGCTCCTTCTTCCTTCCTCTAACTTTCTGTTATCAAACAAGCCCTTATAGTATGCAATTCCAGCTAAAAATTAGATAGTATCTATTCAATCTTGAGGGTATAATTAGAAATAAAAATAAAAAATTATTGAGGTTAATCAATAGGTTGCAGAAGTTATATCTCCAAAATTTAGAGTCTTAAAATTAATTTTAGATAGAGTTTTACATGGAGTAAATTGACATATTCTACTTCTACGAAAGTAGAATATCTTTTGGCTTTCAACTATTCCCACTCTTATGTAATTTTTATTGAGTTTTTGAAATTAAATAGAAAAATATGATACAACGTTAAATAAATGGTCTATCTCATTGGATAATATGCTTAATATACTTTTTTTGTCATTATTTTTTGTTCGTCAAGCCTTTATAGTCCTAATTTTTAATGCATTATTTTTATAAAGTGTACGATTAGAAAAACAAATTTATTAAGTTTAATCTATAGGTTGAAGAGGTTATATCCCCAAATTTTGACGTCCTAAAATAATTCTAGGTGGGGTTGTACTTGAAGAAGGACATAAATATTCTATTCCCACGAGAGTAAAATATCTTTGGGCTTTGGACCATTCCAACTCCTATTTATTTTGATTAGATTTTTGAAATTAAATAAAATATGATAAAATATTAATGGTCTATCTCCTTGAACATTATGATAAATATACCTTCCATTTTTTGTCCTTTGTTGGTCAAGTCTTTGTGGCACTAATCCTTCAGTTGTCTCCACCTCTTTGTCTCAACTCTTGATAACATTCCATGAGATACACAAGAATGCCTTCTTTGTTTTCTTCTTTGGAAAAAAAAAAGTTTTGAAAATTATCACTAAAAAAGATAGTCTTGAAAATTGAAAAGTGAAAACTCGAAGAACAATAAACTTGGCTGTTGATATTGGGCACAATGTTTAGTGGAGGGCACATCACTTGTGTGATGAGATTAAATATTAGATTATCCACTAAAAAATAGAGGAAATCTCGCATCATTACCTATGTTTTGATACTAAATCCCAGCTCAACCAACCCAGAAAAAAATATAAAATACCACATGAACTAACCATGAACTCGTGCCCCTTGCACCATATCTCAGCACCAACCAAGTATACGTCAGTAATTTTAAGAAAAGGGATCGATGACTTGGATCGGGCACCTCAAAAATCAATTTGAATAAGTGAATCGGCGGTTTGGATCGGTGAATCGGTGACGCTGATCACTGTTTTATTGTGGGGAAAACAGTAAATCGGCGCTAAAACATGTGGAAAAACAGCGAACCAGTAAAAAACCGGAATGGGGTGAGCAGAACAGCCGGTTCCCTTATAGACTTGGTCGTTTTTCTACATATAGACCGAATTGGAATGGGGTGAGCGATTCCCGGGTTGGACAGAGCGATTATGTGCTGACTCAGCATTTTTAAATCACTGGTATGCATGGAATTGCATAGAATACGATCATGTGCTTCTTATATAATAAGGCGCAATAATATATAGTCTTCATGTGTGAAATTAAGTGGCTAGAGACGTCTTATTTCTCAACAAGTCTAATAAATTTTCTATGTGATTAGTGGCACGCCTCCAATTGTTCAATTTTACATTTATTGCCACAAGTGATTATGAATTTAATATGCCAAATCCAAACAATTTTATTTTACACTTTCGGGTTATCTATAAAGAGACTATTTATCTTTTGAACATGGAGATCACAATCATTTTTGTCATTTAAAATTTCAAAATGGATGGTTGTAAGAGTATCATTGAATAAACACAAAGTTCCAAAAAAAATTTCAGACTTGGTGACCCACCCCCTAGCCATCCAATTTGACATCTAATGAGTGGGAATGATTGTGAACTCTACAAACGATGAATGCCTTATGAATTTTATGTGCCAAAAGTAAACAATTTTGTTTTATACTTTCCTACGATGAACGCGGAGATGAAGTTTAAATTGAATTTTAATGTGATTTTCTCTCGTGATTTTCTCCTACTCTCTAGTATGGGTACTAAAATTACTTCTATTCACATATATTGGGTAATAGAAATAAAAGGTGTTTACACACAAAATTTCAAGAGTAGGATTTTCTAACACCATCATTTATCTCTAAAGTAAATTAAAAAAGGTTGACTGCAAATTATAATTATTGCCATATATTGTTGCCTTATAATTGGTGTTTCCTCAATAATTTTACAAAATTTTATCACATTACAAAGAGACACAGTGTAGACTAATAGATATTTATCTTTTGTCATTCCATATTTTAAAAATCAGCGTTTAAAAATCCGTCAATATGGATCGAGAATCATCATCAAAATCTTTTCCACCTAATTGGGGTTGGCTACACAGAGTCTGGTCCGTTATTCGCTCTATAAAGGGTCATAACCTCAGTGAGGCCATAAGTCCTCATATATTTTATAAAAAGTCATAAACTATTTTTACATGTAATTTTGGTCTAAACATTCTTAGGATTATTTGAAAATCTATTTTCATATCTAATTATAAATTTTAAAACTCCAAAAATAGTTAAATCAACTAGATCTCTCTCTCTCTCTCTCTATTGTTAGACGGTTTGGATAAATTGTTGCAAGATGCACTATTCATGGAACTCAAAATTTTCTTATTGTTTCAATTACATGGTTTTTCAACATTAAAACGACTTTGTCTAATAGATTTTTTAGGTGCATCTTTAATTCTACATTTTAAAATTGCATCATTATATAAATGTTTCCATATATTTTTCTTTTAGCTTATCTATTTTTTTAGGCCCACTCCTCCCTTAACACTCCCCCTCCCCCTCCCCCAACAAAAAAAAGAAATACATCATTTTATTAAATTATCAATTCATCTAAATCAGCAATCCGACATGGATATGTGAGATAAGACGTTAAGTGTTTTCGAAAACGCCTGTAAAAACTAATGGACATTCTAGAGGATGTTTGGGAAATTCTTTAAAAGAAATTAGAATCGACATTTGAGGTCTTTGTTTCCCTTTCAAAGGATAAGAAAGAAAATGTCGGCAGGCCAGGCTATTTTAAAGGAGAAGGAAAAGGTCGAGAGAGAGAGAGAGAGAGAGCTTAAAAAAGAAACAAAAGCCTACTTTTCCTGATCATAACGTCTTGCCTAAACATGAAAAGGATTGCTGGGATACGAA